CAAATGTCACTAGAGCTTGAATCCGCAAAAACATTAAGCAGCATCCGACGTTGATTTCAAACGGTGTTGACACAAACATCAGCGGCAACAACCGGATCTTTGTGGTCGCTCAACTCGGCCAGAATCGGTTGCCAACGGTCAACAGCCACAATGCAAATGGCTCAGATTTGCCTTTGGACCACAAATCGGGGACAGGACAGGGACAGGACACCTGGCCGGCCAGATGGGTGTCACCTGGCGCGGCGTTGAAGGACTCACGACGAGACAATGTCGCACCGCCTGACATGCGGCCATAATGCGGCTCTCCAGCTAAACGGCAAACAAACACACAAAAAAAATCTAAAACTGTAGCTGACAGCAACAAGGATACCAACGACAGCCACACTTGTGTTTGCAGCAATAAACCTAAAGTTGACAATTGCAAAAAGTCAGTCTACATATGAGGGACTGTCTACTTAATGGTTAGAGTTTATTTAAATTTGATTATTATCACATTAATATTAACTCAATTTACGATTTCCTTGACCAAAACTTGATTATATTTAAACGCACTTTTGTGACGGCCTCGATAATAATTTCTGTTTAGGTACTTCTTAGGCCATGCGACCTGTACCCAGCCTTAGAAGGCAAAAATATATGGCGCCTTTCTCCTTACTGACTGCCAGCAACAGCCATAAAAGAACCAACAACGGCAATCATGAAATCAACTGCTATGAAATTCATCACCTCTCTGTGAACAGCCTCGTCCGTCCGCACTTCCGAGCTTGGACGAGTGTATAAAGTCTCCACTGGATTTGGAACAGCAGGAACAACTCCAACAGCAACCAGCAACCAGCGACGAGCAACAAGCACGGCAGCAACACTCAAGGCTGACAGACGACACAGCAGCGGCATCATCATCACTCAGGGACGGAGCAGCAGCAGAACGGTGACGGGTAAGTGAAATTAATTGCATTGTTTTTGGCCAATGAATTCCTAGTTGCCAGTTTTTGTTTTCGGCTTAAATGCCTTGCCGCCTTTTTGTCAAAACACCAACACCAACGGCAACGGCAGCGGCATCAGCCACCAAACAAACAGGCAAACAGGAACAACGACAGCCGCATCAGGAGCAGAGGGCATCATCACACAGTGGCCACAGCGCTCTGTTCCTCTGCTCTGAAAATCCATCCTGAACACCACCCGAAGCCCCAATTACCATCCCTCGCCCTGTGACATTTTGCAGTTCATCACATGTGATTGCCGCAGTATGTTGCACAAAACATTCAGGCGGCACAGTGGTCTAAAGGGGTCGAGTCTGCCGCATTTAGTAGATTAGAGAAATATATTGAATTGCTAATTCTTCTGATAATTTTCTCAATATTTCATTGCATCTTAGTAGGTGAGAGAGGGGTTGATCTTAACATTTCAATTTCCATTTTCTCTATATTTCATTGCATCTTAGAAATTTCTAACCTGTCCAAATATTTTGGATGCAGTGTGCGCGAGTTTTGATGTTTTTGGAGCTGCCCTGCTCCGTCCATAGCAACTCCCCCGTCATCTCTGCCAACTCCACTGTCGTCCTCATCGCTTTATCGCGCCTAGGCCCGACTCGGGCCTCCCGTTTCAGTGCCACATCCATTCCGGGTCCCGGCTCCATGTCGCCCCCATGCCTCCCTGCTAGACCGTCTCCTGGTGGCTCTTGCTCTAGTTAGTTACCATCATCAACATGTTGACATGTCTATGACTGCATGCATGTGTCTGTGCTGACACACTGCTTGTGACAGTGTGTGTGTGTGCGTAGCAATGCGCTAACCAAGCTCAACAGCGTTTATCACTCATGCTTATGGTCTTGTTTTTGCGGTGATATATCACACTTGACACTCATTCATTCAGTTTTGGAGTTTAGTGTTCTGGGCTCGTTATGTGCCACTTCCACCTACCACTTACCCACCGAGCCCCAGTCCCAGCCCCAGTGCCTCCGTGTCACCATTTGAATTTCATCAGGCAGAATTTCGGAGCCAGAATTGCAAGCACAACTTCTCCCTTCATTTTTTAAAATACTGCTAATTGTTTTTTTGTTGTTGCCTAGTTAACGGTCACACATTTATCGTCAGATTTTCGCTTAAAAAAATGTTTAGTCTTACATGAAAGTCTAATCTATTAAGGGAATTTAAATGTACCAAAGAGGGCAACCACAGAAAACGCACTTAAACCAATTAAAAGGTCGAAAGGTATACGAAATTATTTTTAAAGCCATAACTTTTCCTGTATTCCCTTTTTATAAAGGTTTAATTACAAATAAATAAGAAGAAAACAAGAATCTTAAGATAAGAATAAGATTTTAAAATGTTTTTGACATTTTAAGGGGCTTGAATAGAACAAAAGTACAACTTGAGGAAATATTGACTGAGAAGAAATATTGATCAAGTCCCCCGTTAATAAAAATATTTTAGTAATAAGATTTATATTCAGTCATTGAGTGCACTAAAATCCACATCAATAGATATTTATGTTTCTGTTACATTTGATAAGACTACCAATAATTTCAGGACCGGGTATTTTATTGTCGAGACACACGACCATATCGCAAAATTTTGTTTATCTTATTATTGTTTCCTGAGTTGGTTCTGTTTGGTTTTCAATGGCTCCACAAATGTTTATGCAGATGAATTGTATTTTGAGTCGTGTTTTCATCTGTTTTGATGCTGCTAGACAGTCGCAGCAGAAAAGGGGAATGGCACATCCACAAAGGACTCCCAGTCCTTAAACATTTGATGAATAGTGACGTATGTTTGCTAAGCTTGTATAATGTTCCTGTTAGCTGTGGCTGGATAATTCATTCCATATATGTGATTTGTAAGAGCAAATGGTTCGACAATGATAAAGAAACTCTTTGCTGATATATTTATTCAAAGCTGGTTATACCCTTGCAGTGTATTACAAAACTCTAATAAAAAAGCTTATATCTCAGAGTAGATTAAAATACATTGAAAAACAAGTAAGTTATAATTTTTTTTCCATTAATTTCTCAATCGTTCCTATGGCAGCTATAAGATATAGTCGTCTGATTTTCATAAAATAAAACCGAAATTCAAATATAATTACAAATGGTCATACATAAAAATATATGAAAATATGTTTTAGAAAACAGCCAAGTTATATAGTCGTCCGATCCGCCCCGTTCCGAAATATATATAGCATATATACAATATAGTGAGAGTATTAAGAAGACTATATGCTAAGTTTCATTCAGATAGCTTTAAAACTGAGGGACAAGTTTGCGTAGAAACGGACAGACGGACAGATGGACATGGCTATATCGACTCGGCTGTTGATGCTGATCAAGAATATATGTATATACTCCTAGGGTCGGAAATGTATTCTTCACTACGTTGAAAACTTCTGTCTTCTGAATATGCTAGATTCTGTCAAAGTTGATAATTAGAACACTTCTTACACTTCTTAATGTGACTATTCTGAAAACGAAAACATTTGACATTTTTACAGAAATGCCCATATGCTATGTATAAATGTAAAAATGTTATATATTTCCTGTTAGTTTTGTCTATTAATTTAGCCAGTATGGATTGATTCATAATGATCAAATTGCAAACTGCAAGAGCATACAAACTTCAGCGTTCCATAGTTAGTTTCCTTTCTTATTTATTTATTATTATTATTAGAATTTTTTTTGTTACCTTCAGAATTGGAATTCTTACATAAAATAAGTTTAATAGACGATATATATACATTATCCTAACATATGGGATGCTTGAGTGCTTAAAAATAAAATATTTAATCAACGACTTATTCTCATCTTAAACATAACTGCACATTTCCAAACCTTCTGCATAAAGTAAATTAATTGAATTCTCCAGGAAAACAACACCCGGGGCTGCAAAACTGTTCAAAAATTTGGCGAAAAATTTTGACAGGTACCTTTAACACACAACTCGTAAACATTTGCCGAAATCACAATTCGTGAATGTTCAAACTGTTGGATAGATTTCATTTAACTTTTGACTCCACCACAGGGCCAGCAGCTAGGATGTAGCTGCCATTCAGTCCCATTCCCATATGGTTATTTCTGCAGAATGCATTTGAGAGCTGTATAAAATGTAGCTCTGTCTAAATTTAAGGGCAAATGGTCTGGCGCCTGCATTTTTATGGAATTTCGACGTCGCCATTGTCGCTGCGGTTGTCGTCTGGTCGCGTCAGTCAACGCGAAGAAAGGTGTCAGGAATTTTTTTGCATTCCCCATTTTTTGACAGATGGACACGGGCAGTGTGGGGCTGAAAACGATTCCGTGGAGTCCCGAGGAAGTTACAGCTTGTGATAAAAATCGTGTGTCAATTCGGTTTGTGTCGTTAACCGCTGCCTAAACAACAACAGCAACATCGGATGTGGGAAGCGGTTTTCCAGGCTCGAAAATTTTTCTGTTGCAATAGAAAAACGGACGCGTTACATGACATTTGTGGCAGCGAATTGGCAGCTTCCACCAGCTGCCCGCTGGATGCAATTGCAGGAACCTGACTGACGGCCAGCAATTTTCAAAGGAGTAGAAAGAGAAGGGGATTGGAGTAGAAGTCGCAGTGGACATGATTCAGATTGCCGTTCGAGGGGAAAATCAATGCATCGTGGTGAGGAATCGAATGGCGGGCTATTCCCTGATCAGCGAGAATGACTACTTTAAAAATGTAAACATAAATGCATTTTAAAATATTCAGAAGACATTAGCACAGCTATAAATATTTCCCTAGAAACTCTCAAGTCTGAATTCTGAGACACTTGAGATCGAGAGTTGCAAATAGCTTGAAACGCATTTGAACAACTCTTGCTGTTTATGTCCTGGCTAAAGTCTATTTTTGAGTTTGGTAAGTTCTTAACAATAAGGAGAAAAATTTGTCCTGAGTAATTCCTGATCTCAGTGATTACAAGAGCCACAGTTACCCCACCAGCAACCCTCTTTTGGGTTTCACAGGCAACCTATAAACTAGTTTTAAATTATTTTTGTATCATCTCAGGAACGTTTGATCTATGCGTCTATAAAATGAAAATTTTAAATGAAACTTCTTCAGTTATAAATTCACACCGCCTTAACAGCCGCATTTTACGCCTGAGAGCATGGACTGACTGGTTCGAAGAACAACACCAACATAATGGACGCTTTTGGCTCGTCATTCATATTGTCAAGCTATGCGTCCTGCTGGCAGTGTGGGTCTACTTCACTTTCGTTTTAGTGAGTAACAATACTGAGACGAAGATTACAAAAACTTTAGTCACCGCGATGCCAAATGAGATTGTCTTAAGGAAGGTGACACTGGCCCAGGATTACCTGAAGATCACTCTCCGAGGACCCATAGACGCCTATCTAACGGAGCATCCCCAAGGTGGAGAGACGTTCGGCGCAGGTGTGCGAGTGGAGTATCGCAACTCAAACCTCAATGAGATTTACCAGCACACGGCCTTGTGGAACATAGTCCTGGACTCGACAGCCAAGAACGGTGAGGCGACAAAGTTCTTCGAAATCGCTCCGCCCGATGCGGAGGATACACAGGCCGTGGTCTCGGTGGAGAGCAAGAGTGCTACTCCGGTCAGCCTGCTGATAGAGGTGGAAGCAAGACCCATGTCCAATAGGGCTGTTATTTATGCCGGCCTATTGATAATTTTGCTGTTTTCGGTGCTAACTGCCAACATCCTAGACCGAACGTTTGTCGCTCTCCTTGTTGGCGCAATTGGTATAGCTGTTTTGACTGTCTTATGTGATCGGCCCGATTTGACCACGATCGTGTCCTTTGTCAACTTCGAGACCCTGATGCTCCTCTTCGGGCTCATGGTAATCGTGGACAGGATGGCAACCACCGGCATCTTCAACTACCTGGTAGTCCTGATATACCGAGTTTCCATGGGCCAAGCCTGGCCGCTGGTATTCTTCCTGAGCATGCTAACCGCCTTTCTCTCGGCCTTTCTGAACAGCCATAACATGGCCCTAGTACTGACCCCGATAACAATTCGACTCTGTGAGACGATGGCTCTACAGACGCAGCTGGTGCTCATCATAATGGCTATATATGCCAATCTGGGTGGTGCCCTAACTCCGTTGGGCACCGCGGCAAACGCAATCGTGAGTAACCATCCGGTTGCGGTGGCTAATGGTGTAAATTTTGTCAATTTTTTTGGCCATATGCTGCCCGGTGTACTCGTCGCGGTGCTCGTGGCTTTTCCCTTGCTCTATCTGACCCTGCGGAAGAGGCTGTTCCGCCTGGACCAAAATCAGATAGATCGGATGGATCTGATGGCCGAGGGAATGAAGCCGCCGACCGAAAGCCTCTTGCAGCTAATAGCTCAGCGCGAGCTGAGGCAGCCGAGCAAGTGGTGGCTCAAGCCTGGCGATAACTATAACCACACATTGGCCAGGCTAGAAGACAGCTATCGGATACGGGACAAGCCGCTCCTGATCAAATGCTGCATCACTCTGGCCTTCATCTACCTGTGCATGATCCTGCACTCGTTTCGCGGTGTGGCCGATGGTGGCACACTGGGCTGGGTGATCCTGCTGGCCGCCTTCCTGTTAATTATCTTGGACAACAAGAGCCACTTGGACGGGACTCTCGAGATTATTCAGTGGACGATCCTGCTCTTCATCGCGGCCCTCTATGTTTTAACTGAGACGGTGGCTAGGCTAGGCCTTTTCAAATGGCTAGGAGACCACGCTGCAAAGGCACTGTCGGAAGAAGAATTGCGGAATCAGAGTAGAGTGGCCATAATGGTGCTTATTTGGACTACCGCCTGCCTCTCGATTCTAATTGACAACATAGCCGTTACCAACATCATGTTAAGTTTTTGCTTTGAGGTGACCGACAGTAATCAGCTTCCGGTTCGGCCGATGATCTGGGCCATAATATTTGGCGGCTGCTTCGGCGGCAATGGGTCCCTACTTGCAGCCATGTCGAATCAAACCCTGGCTTGGATCGCCCAGAAGGCCGGCTACAAGATACACTTTTGTCGATTCTTCGTCATCGGCTTCCCCATCATGATTGTCACCTTGGTTATAGGCTCAGGTTATCTCCTGATTGACCAAACTCTTACTCGGGCACCAAATCCATTGTCTCCAAACGTAAATAAAATATACGATTTCCGTGCAGAATAATTAATTAATAATTATTATAAAATGTATTTTATAAAGCAAATATGTAAACAAATAAAACTTTTCCAATATACTAGTTATTAGATAGATGTCCTTAATCCATGGATTACAGACATGTATGAACATATACATATACATATATGTACATTATACATACATGCAAACATCTAACTGAAGACGGATTGACAGGCGCTCAAATACCGCGACACCTGACAGTTGTGGCCAAAATGCAGCGCCAGCTGCTGTCAGTCACCAGAACGTGGACACGTTCCACGTGTTCTTCTTTGTTTGCTTATTTTTTACTGGATGACAGCGGAATGTTTTTGATTATTGAAGGTAAGTGTTTGAGCCCACCTTTAAACGTTAAAATGTATCCATTGCAGGTATTAATTAATTTTTTTTTTCGTAATTTTTTTTTTTTTTTTTTATTTTTAAGGCCTAATATCTTAAGAATATTGTGTCCAAGTTTTACATCGATCATGGGAAAATTGACGAAGTTATGCAGAGTTAAACGAAGGTCGGTTGGTGTTAAATGCATGAGAATCACAAAGTTTAAAGCGCTCTCCTGAAAAATTCAATTTTTCAAATCGGTGTACACGATTACAGAAAAACTACTGGATCGATTTGAAATTTGGCACACACATTCTTTAACTAATTCCTCAGGTATTCACGTCGGCCTTTTTTTAATTTGTAATTTTTATATATTTTTAAATTAAGAAATAAGGTTTTTTTTAAGTCAAAAATCGGGGTTTTGACTTTCAAATTTCCTAAAAAATCACAAAAAAAACTTAAAAAAAAAAAACGCTTCCTGAATACCTCGGGACACTTATCCTTTAACGAATGAGGTATAATTTTTTTAGATCGGATGATCCTGTGGACTGTTAGGATGTACACCGCAAAACAATTTTTTTTTGAGGCGACTCGGGAGATTCCCTGTAACTTCTATACCTCTAAATATTTTTCAATACAAAATTTATCAAAAATTATTTTGTGTTATTATATGGTATTTAATTCATTAAGCTAACTTTAGCCGTTCCGCCACAATAATTTGGATCGGACGACTATATCATATAGCTGCCATACAAATGTTCGATAAATTTTTAGAAACAAAATTATAACTTGGCTGTTTTTTAACATTTTTGCACCAGTTTTGAGATATGGCCATTTTATATTATTTCTGAATTGTAAAAATTTTATGAAAATCGGGCGACTATATCTTATAGCTGCCATAGGAACGATCGCGAAATTAATAGGAAAAAATTATAACTTCGTTGTTTTTCATCTACTCTGAGATATGAGCTTTTGTTATTATTTCAGAAATTTGGAATATATTTTATGAAAATCGGACAACTATATCATATAGCTGCCATAGAAACGATCAGTAGATGTATAGAAAAATGTAAAGCTGCGAGTGTAATACTGAAACTGTCAAACTGTAAACATAATAAGTATACAGTCACGGACAAAAGTCTACGTACGACCCCTTTTTTTGGGTTTTAGCCACTCCTATAGATTTGACAAGAAAAGTAATGATGCAGTCTTGTTTTAAATGGTATTACTATACAACAACTAAAATTTCATTTGAATTCAACATTAACTTTTAAAGTTATAAACAAAAAACGGAAAAACGACAGTGACAAAAGTGTACGTACGATTGCTTACTATGCACTTTTATGATATAATATTGATATAAGGAATAAAAGTTAATATTTCTTTGGGTTACCATAGACATCAATAACTGCTTATAGTTGTCTGGGCATCGAAGCCACCCACTTATCCTGCTTCCTCTTCCTTATTTTAGTCCACTCCTCTTGTAGCCTCTATTTAAGGATAGGAGCACTACTTATTGCGTGTTTTCGACCTTTCTGCTTAAAATTTTTTCCAATATAATATATAATATTTAAGTCCTAAGTCCTAAACTAAAAAATAATTGCCGGGGACCATAATACACCAGCGAATCCCTCACGATATGCGCCGTACGCTCGTCCTGTTTGAAGATCTAGCTCGTAACGGGGCATAATTTGTCCAGATATGATGTCCAACAATGATCAAATATGGTGTTTTCCTACAAACGATCCATATTACACTCGATAAAACATAGGTAAAATGTAATGAAACTTTGTTCTATGTGTTTTTCAGCATTTAAATTTATAATGTTTATTATTATTATACTTATTAGTATACATAGGTAAAATGTAATGAAACTTTGTTCTATGTGTTTTTCAGCATTTAAATTTATAATGTTTATTAAATTCGATTTTTAAATCTAAAATATAGTTTTTTTATACAAATAAACTGTCTGTCTATTAATTTTATCATAACCAAATTATTTTATGCTAATGTATAAATATACAACTTTTATGCATTTCTGTTATTTTTCTATGAACTTGACCAGAATGGATAGATTCTTAATGATCCAATTGCAAACTACAAGATTAACAAACTTCCGTGTGCCGAAGTTAGCTTCCATTTGTTTAAAAATAATTTCAAAACACAATTCCGCAATAATATTATATAATGCTAATAGTACCGGTAAAATGTATTAAACGTGGAAAAATAATATTAAAAAAGTGCTAGTTTTAATCATATTTTTTGCTTTTTATTTACCGTTCGCCATCCTGAAAATGCCCATTTACTTTTTAATTTTTTGTATTTATTTATTAATAAACTTCCTTTTATTTCTGAGATGAAATAAAATAAGAGTGATTTAAATTACAAATTTTCAGCAAATCCACAGATTTCAGTGTGTACTCCAGTGTCTTTTTTCTTCATTTTTTCTCAGACAAGTTTTAAACGCTGAGGACAAAGCACAAAACTAATAAAGATGCGTAATGGCTGTCTGCGCACAAATATTGGAAAATAATTACAGTCGGGAAAGCGATAAGGGCACAAAGGAGAGCTGAAAGTGGAAGGAATAAAGAAATGCCGACGTTAGTTTGGCCAATTTAAAAAGAAAAAAAAATTACAAACAAATCGAAAACCCGTTTATTAAACAAATCTTTATTTTTGGTCCTTCGCTGTCCTTCATCCCTCCCTAGCGCATAAAAATCTGCATCTTCGTTGCCATCTTACTCACCCTTCCTGGCATTTGCCGTTATTTTGCGGCGTGCATGCAACAATTGTTCCCGTGGTCACGCATGCCAGCAAGGGTCGGTAGGTGGGAGGAAGGGAGGTGGCAGCAATAACTTTTTTAGGAAGAAAAACGCAGCGCAGAAATTAATGCTCTTGAAGTGATGAAAATGCTTTAACATAGCCTCTCTCTCTCTCTCTCTGTCTCTTTACCCTCTCTTTTTCTGCCTCTCGCCCACACTTTGCTTCATTTTCAATTTCAATAAATAACCTTGATTTAAGCGGCAGCAGCGCTGACGCCAGCAGCGCAGTCGACGTTTGACCAGAGGAAATACAAATACAAATACCACCCCCTCCCAACGCACACTCACAGATGAGACACACAAACACCTGTCACACATTGCTCTCGCTCTCCGGCTGCAATCCTGGTCTCTCTCACTCTCTTTCTCTCTCTCTCGCCCCTTTTCTTGCTCTCCTATTGCAGTTGTTTCATTTCGGTTTCGTTTCAAGCTCAGCTTCTCATAAATCAAAACAAAGTTGCACAAAGCCAGAGAGAGAGCAGAGAGCGCGCAGGCGTTGTCTTCGCTCTCGCTCTTGTTCCCTTCTCTCTTTCTGGCCGCCTCTCTCTCCCTCGTTGCTTCTCTGCCGGCATACAATCGTGGACATAAGTATTTTGACACAGATTATGGCTATATTCCAGCGCGTGTCTCTTTGTACTCGTAAAAGTTACGGGATCCATTTCACTTTCCAGTAAGAGATTATATTTAAATCTTTAAAAGAGCAAAAGATGACACTGATAAGTAAATTAACTTCTTTGCTTTGTCACGTTATGTGAGAGATCATGCATTTTTGGGTGGACAAAAATATTTTGACATTGCATTCAATTAGCTCTCATTTGTTTCGTGCGCATAAAATACAGTTTATTATTATTTATAACTCCAGCTCATACATTTTTTAGCAGCTTTAATATATTTTTTGTAAATTTTCCTAATTTCTGTACCGTTATTTAATGAAAATATGGGTAAAACACGGGAGCTAAGCCAAATCCAGCAAAACAAAATAGTAATTAAGTACCACCCAGGTATTTCGGTCCAGAACCTCAGCATATTTTATGAAGTACCCCGTCAAACAAAATTAACAAACATAAACTGACAAATTCGACGAATAATTTGGTCAGAAAAGGACGACCATGCAAAACTACGCCTAGACAAGAACGTCTAATCTTTGCAAAATTTAAAGAACATGTCCTTATTAAACCAAACGAAGTTTCAATGGAAGTTAAAAACGATTATGATATTTTAATTAGTAAAAAAACAGTTGAAATATTATTTAAAGAGGCTAACTTTGCTACTTTGTGGCCCGTCAGATACCTTTCATTTCACCTAAAAATGAGTTGAAACGATTAGCCGATTAGGCCGCACTTTCTTGCGAATATTTTTTGGTAATCTGCAGTAAATTTCTTTTTTTTAACCATGGTACTCAAAAGAACTCTCATCGGTCCACAATTTGTTCCCAAAAGGATTTAGGCATGTTTAAAATTATTTGGCAAAGGCTAATCGTTTCAACTCATTTTTAGGTGAAATGAAAGGTATCTGACGGGCCACATTAGTAGCAAAGTTAGCCTTTTTAAGTCTTCTTTCAACTGTTTTTCTACTAATTTAAAAATCATAATCATTTTGAACTTCCATTGAAGCTGCTTTTGGTATAATAAGGACAATATCTTTAAATTTTAAAAGGATTAGACGATCTTGTCTAGGCGTACTCTTGCAAGGTCGCCCTTTTCTGACTAAATTATACGTCGAAATTGTCAGTTTATGTTTGTTAATTTTGTTTGACGGGGTATTTTATAAAATATGCTGAGGTTCTGGACCGAAATACCTGCTTGGTACTTAAATCTTATTTCGTTTCGCTGGATTTGGCTTAGCTCCCGTGTTTTTCCCATATTTTCATTAAATAACGGTACAGAAATTAGGAAAATTGACAAAAAATGTATTAAAGCTGCTAAAAGATTTATAAGTTGGAGTTATAAATAACAAACAACGTCCTTTAATGCGCACGAAACAAATAAGAACTGATTGAATGCAATGTCAAAATATTTTTGTCCACCCAAAAATTCATGATCTCCCACATAATGTGACATAGCAAAGAAGTCAATTTACATATCAGAAACATCTTTTGCTTTTTTAAAGTTTTAAATATAATCTCTTACTGGAAAGATAAATGGATCCCGTAACTTTTACGAGTACTAAGGTACACGCGCTGGAATATAGCTATAAGCTGTGTCAAAATACTTATGTCCACGATTGTATATCAATTTAATGGGGAAAATGTCGCTCGTTGCTCTCGCGGGCTGTGCTCTCTCGCTCTCGAAACTCATTTTGATAGCGCTGCCGATGTCTCGACGTTTCCAATTGTCAAAAAGATGTTTTAGTCGAAAAACTGACTGAACGAAATCATGTCGCATCATGTTGGATTTTCCGCGCCGAGAATTGCAAAGTGCAAATAGGAAGAAGTCGAAAATAGTTTCGAGTAAATACATGCATAAGTACATGTGCACGTGTGTATACAAAAAATCGCAAAGTTCCACACACAAAGCTACAGTAAATGGGCATAAATCTTGTGGCAAGCCGTCCGTCAGTAAATCATTAAATTAGTAGCCCCACCAACACACTCGCATTTGTACATCTGTTGTGTTGTGTGTGCCAGTGAGCGAAAGAAGAAGCTAAAGGAAGTGAAATTGGCGGCAGTTTGACCGAAACAACAACAAGAAAAACAAAAACAACTCTTGCAACACACACACTCACGCACAAAATTGATTCGCGTTCGTCATCAGTCGTCGGTTTCGGTCCTTCCCGTCCCCGTTCCCCTTCCCGCTTTCCACCCCCCCAGAGACCCGTGAACCATTGTGACATTTGATTTATTTGACGTGTGTGTTTTTGATAGAAGCCCAACACGAAACTGACACGCACACACACACTCCCCAAAAGAGAGACGGTCGAGAATATTTGTACAATATTTGTGAAACGAAAATAAAATCTTTTTTTTTTGCGCGCATTGTATGTTTGGAAGTGAACACAAATAATATACAAAACACAGCACAGGCTCCAAGAACAAATCTCTCGCTATCGATGAGCAGACGGAATTAATTGTTAATCTAAGCGATCTGTTCGGAAAGTGAAACCCGAAAAAGTTCAACAAAATGATGCTACACGAGGCTGTCATGCTGGAAATCTATCGCCAGGCGTTGAGTGCAAGGTGAGTGATTCCCGCTGTCCGCATCCCCTTCCCCAGTGAACATTTAAAATGTTTCTATTTGAAATATTTAAAAACAAATAGAAGTGTTAAAAGTATACAAATGTCATGTTATTGGTTTTTATTTTATTTGGTTCATTTATTTGGTGTTTTTGCTTGCCATTTACTGGGAATTTTGTAAAAGTTTTGGCTTTTTGGAAGCGTATTGCAAATATGTAATGTATGCAAGTGTCAAGAGTGTCATCAAAAACGTCAAAAGTTAGTTTCAAGTTTTGGAAATGTACATGACTTAAGATAAAACTGTGCTAAATTATTTCCAGAATTAAAAAGAATTTGAAAATAAATGAATGAACAAGTTTTAAGAAAAACATTTTATACAAAGAAATTTATGACTGTGTATGATCCATAAATTAAAATAATTTAACTTAAGTTTATACATATTTTATAAATAACCGTAGGCCACAGATGCCTTGACCTTCGATTCATTGCATACCTTCTAGCTGTAGTCGATTTGAATAATGAATAAGAAGTAGTTCAAAATAGACTTCATAATTGGATATCAATGGTTCTGAAAGGATTTTTCTTGTGTTGTTAATAATAAAAGGTCACAACTAACATTTTAAACAAAGAAATATGGATATTTACTTTTGTGAATGTACGAAAATTTGTGAAACTTATATTTTGAATTATAATAATAAATATGGAACTGTTTTAATTAACTTAAATTGAATGTGAAAATAACTTTAAGAAATAAAAGTGTTCATTGCTTCTTGTTTCCAAAAAGATCCAAATTTTGAAAGAAATGGGTACAAAAAAATCGGGTAGTATTTCAAATAGGAATTGTTTGCACCTAATTTTTATTCACTGTTTTTTTTTTTTGTTTTTTTTTTCAGTTTTTAAAAACTTTTTAACGCCGTAGTTTTCTTTCCTTTTCAGCGAGTTGGCCAGTCCGCGCTGCCAGTCCAGGGAGTCGACCGCTTCAGCCGGAGTCGGAGCAGCGCCTAGCGATGCGCGATGTCCCTCAAATGAGTCCCACTGTTCAGCAAATGATTGCCTGACCCCGGCTCCTACGCCTACTCCAACGGCCACGCCCACCTCTCCGCACTCGGTGGGCCTCCCTCTGACCGCCACACTTCCCCCCGCAGCTGCCGCGGCTCTGCTTCCCCCACAGTCTGCTGCGATGGCCGCATACCTGGCTGCCGCCCAGCAGAATCATCTGCTGCTGACGAATCCCCTGGCTGCAGCAGCTTCTCTGGTCCAGCATGCGACTCAACAAGCGGCGGCTGAGAATGGGGAGCCGCCGGCCCTTGATTTCAGCAGAAAGCGTCCGACTAGCGACGGGGAGGACGAGGAGGAGGAGGAAGAGGAGCAGGAACAAGATCCTGAGCCGGATGTCCAGGGTGACAATGGTCCCTTGGATCTCTCCGTTAGCACGAGAAATAGGGAAGGCGACAGGGATTCCCCTCCACCCAGAAAGATTCCAAGGAATATCTCTTCTGAATACAAATCCCCTCTGCCACCTGGAAGCTGGGTGCCCCCAATCAACCCTTACCTAGCAGCTGTGGCGGCCAAAACCGGAGGATTGGGTAGCTCAAAATTGGTACCCAACGAGGCCAGCAAGGCGCTGGAGAAAATGACCGAGATGAGCCGCCTGGAAACATCCCCACCAAATCTAAGCAGGAGCTCTGGCATCACATCATCTTCGGGATCAGGAGCGGTGGCAGGAAGCAGTAGCAGTTCCAGCTCCGGCGGTCGCCACAGTGCCTGGCAATCGCATTGGTTAAACAAGGGTGCCGATGCCGCCAAGGATGTATTTAAATGTGTGTGGTGCAAGCAGAGCTTCGCTACCTTAGCCAGCCTAACCACCCACATGAAGGAGACGCAGCACTGCGGCGTGCAGATACCCTCGCCGTCATCGTCATCCGGGGGAGTGTGTGCTCCCGCAGCGCCACCACCTTCCAGACTTCCTACTAATTCCGCCTCGAATTCCGCCTGCTCCAGCAGTAGTAGCTCCACGTCCAGCTCCTCCAACTCCTCGAAGTCAGAGTTGAATATGCTGATCAAGGAAACGATGCCGCTACCTAGGAAACTGGTTAGAGGTCAAGATGTTTGGTTGGGAAAGGGTGCGGAGCAAACACGCCAGATCCTCAAGTGCATGTGGTGCGGTCAGAGTTTCCGATCTCTGGCCGAGATGACCAGCCACATGCAGGAGACGCAGCACTACACAAATATTATCTCCCAAGAGCAAATAATATCCTGGAAGTCTGGAGACGAGAGAGAAAGACCTTCAAATGGTGGCGGCGCGGCAACTGGTGTGGCTCCCTCCTCAGCTGGCCCTCCTTCTTCTTCGTCCAGTGGAACAGCCGCCGCGGTCAGTGCCGTGCTCACATGCAAAGTGTGCGATCAAGCTTTTGGCACCCTGAAGGAACTAAGTACGCATATGGCCCAGCAATCGCACTACAAAGAGTCGCCGTCGTCTTCTGTTTCGCCACCAGCACCCGGTTCTGGAAACTCGAAGAAGGGGAGGCAAACTCGCAATGAGAAGAGAAAAAAGTCACTGCCGGTAAGAAAGCTCCTGGAACTTGAACGGTCGGGCTCAAACTCTAGTCTGGATTCAGCTTTGAAACCACTAAGAGATTTCGCAGCAGCCACCAAAATCACCTGTGAGAAATGTGGCAGTAAAATAGAAACTGCATTGTTCGTGGAGCACATTAGAAAATGCTTAGGCGAGAGTATACCCATTCCACCCAGGCGATCTAACCAGGGATTGGATCGTTTGCCCAGCCCAATTTCAGGAATTGGGAGTGAGAAGCCGCCTTCTGTTTTGAATGCGCTAGAGCAACTTATCGAAAAAAGCTTTGAATCGAGGGGCGGAAGAACGATGACACCAGGTGGTTACTCCGAAGCCGGGACGCCACTGGGAGCTAGTATCCTTAAGCGTTTGGGCATCGATGACAGCAGTGACTATACGAAGCCTCTTATGGACGCCCAGGCAATACACCTTCTGCGATCCTCCTACGGTTCTAGGGACCGCAGTGCCAGTGAATCCAGTTCGGCCAGCAGAGTGGAATCGTCCTACACACCGGATAGGCAGCAAGCCACGCCACGAAGAACACCGGATACGCCAGCACCGCCACCACCACCGCCGCCGCCGCCCACCATTAAGGCGGAGCCCGTGGAGACGGATCTATCGGCATGTGAAGATCGGGAGGTTAGTAGCAGTCCTCGGCAACAAATCCACGTGAAAAAGGAGTTCAGCATGGAGGCGAATCCGGAGAGTCCTGGACCTCAGACAGCAAAGGCTGGAGCAGACAGTGGCAGCTTGCTGGCCTTAAACTCCATGTTCGATCAGCTGAGTGGCGGGGAAGCCAACAACAATAACAATACGGGTAAGTGGAGAGGGTTGTATTGAAATAAAATGAAAAAAAAAACAGATTAATTGTAATAAAACAATAGAAACCATTTAACTAAAGGAGTTTTATCAACTAAAAAATGTTCCTAAACTTGGGCTAGCTTTTCGTTATATAATATTCATAATCTGCATAAACAATTCTTTTTTAAATTAATTTTTTTGTCATTAAATATTTATTGGATACATTTTTTTCTTGCAGGACACTACAACAACAACAATCCGTCAAACAACACTTCAGGCAAGAAACCGAAGGCTCATCCCCTGGCAGCTCTGCAAAAACTCTGCGACACAACGGATCCACCTGCCTCAAACACTCGCAGTGGCTCCTCCAGCGGATCAGCGTCCGCATCAGCTGCGATCCCTTCCACTAACGGAAGTGATCTTGTGGCCTTTAGCTGGGCTTGTAATGAGGCCGTTTTGAGTGCTAGCAGTGGCGGAGGTTCTGGCGGTGACTCGTCGATCATCAAGTGCTCCTTCTGTGATACGCCCTTCGGGTCGAAGGGCGCCTACCGCCACCACTTGTCCAAGGTGCACTTCGTGAAGGATGCGGGTGAGGAGTCGCCGAGGCTCAAGTCGCCGGCGGCCCAGAGCCCGAAATCAGTGCCAACGGCTTCGCCCAAAAGATCTGCTTCCAGAAGTCCGGCAACGCAGTCCAACTTGCAGCAGCCCGCTCTATCGCCAACTATCAATCCATACGACGAGAGTCCGCAGTCAAAGTTCCTTAAGTATACGGAGCTGGCCAAACAGCTGTCCTCAAAAAATGCCTAGAAGTCTCATTAGGGGAAGAGAGACCCTAGGAGTCCCACACAATTCTTGTTGATTAAAAATCATTTGAAAGGCACCCAAAAGTATGCACCCCAGACACGGCCAAAATTTGTAAATTTCAATTCCACAAGCTTTTTTGTGTGGGATGCCATCTGTTGTAAAGTAATACTTCGTTTGTTTAGTTATATATAAAACTTTAATTAATATCACAAGAATTGAACTTAGATAGATAGCATCATGGAGTGATCTCATTTATATTACCAAAGTTGTACTATTATCATGGAAAAGACTTTTCAAATATTTTATTTTTGTTTTACATATTTTAAATATTTTGTAATCTAGGTTTATCAACATTACCATTTCGGAATTTTCCTTTAGATATCCGATCTTAAAAGGTATTTTGACTGCGTATAAGTTAAATTGGTAAAAGGAGAAGATATTTATTCAATAATAAATAAATGCCCAACTCGAAACTCAGTTCTAACAAGAGCGCACTCATTTGTGATCAGCTCGCCGAGAGAGTATTCTTGCTCATAAATGCTCCTGCTCTCCCGTGATTTCCCCAATCACTTGCAGGCGCTCTTTCGAATGTCGCTGCACACTCACACTTGAAGCAATTTCCCCTGCTTTTGCTGAATTTGTTTCCCCACTCTCTCTCGTTCTCCGATTTTCCCCTTTGGAACGCTAGCTTTTTATTGTTTCCCAATCGGACATCATGCCGTCGCAGTCGCTCGTGCGAGCGAGAGAGCCGGCATACTCTGGGAGTAAATTCAATTACCACCACTTTGACGAACTGCTGTCCATCAAGGCGCGTCGGACAGAGATGGCAATAGTAACAGGCGGGAGGCGGAGGCGACGACACGAGCTCGTCAAAGTTGGATTGGATAAGGCGAGGCAAAAACAACAACAACGGTCGAGTGGGTGGGTGGAGAGCACAAAAGAGCGAGGGACACTATGTGGATTGAGTGGAACGGGTTTTCGAGTGCAATGGGTGAGTGAAACGTCGTATGAAGCGTGCCAAATAGGATTCTTTAATTTAAATTTAACAGACTACGTGTAGTTCTAAGCAAGTAAATCGCTAGACCTAAGCAAATACAACTACAAACACAGCAACGCAGTATACGTAAAAAACCTACACTAGGAGAAAAATGTTAACCTCAACTCCCGACGGAATACTTAATCGAATGCATTAATTAAAGTGTACATATTTAGCAAATAGCATTTTCCTTCCATATGTCTACAAAGAATATCAATACACTTACAAAAAAACTTTGCATATATCTTAAAAAGTCTTAAATCAAAATGTAGCCGCAGCAAACGCAAGTATACGAACAAGTTTTAAAAATTATAAATATATACTTAAAAGCTATTTACACGCCCATGTATACCAAGAACTCGAACTCTCAACAATAACACCCGAGAATTCTAAATATTTAACCTAAGAATTAAACCTAAGAACAAAACAAAAACTTTGCAGAATGTATAACATTTTAATATTAACAATAACAAAAAGTATGTATCATTGACGAAAGTAATTAGATATATGATATTACTATAACTATGTATACGACTTCTATTTGAGTTTTGTGATATTATTTATAAAACGAGACCTTTCGCTTTCTGTCGCCACATCCCCACTTCTTAAGTAAATGTCCTTCGAACTAATACCCTGTAACACACTTCCCACCCCGAGTCCTCTAGATCGTAAAAGTAAGTTATTTAATGCAATAAAGGCTCAGCATCCGAAATACAATCTACATACGTGATTTTCTTCTCTCTACGAAACCAGAAAAAACGATAATACAGACATGCATATGTACGTGGTCTTTGACTAATTGAATATATTGATTCGAAATTCCAAAAGAAACTATTAGAAAACTAAAGAGTTGAATAAAACATTGTAACTATTGACTATTTGCATTTCTTTAAATATTTTTGACTAGGGCTTTCAAAATTGGGGCCACAGCGAGGGTTTGAGTATCCATGGGGTTTTTACGACTCGAGGCTCAGTTTGCAGCTTAACAAAGTGCCGTATTATATATATATATACAGCTGCGGCAAAAAAATAGCACCATGACATATCTTTTTCTTTATTGATTATTTGTTTTATAACTATTCATATATTTAACTTGTTTAAGGCTTTTACTTTTACTTTAGGCTCTAATTTATCGAAATACACTGCAAGTGTCGTCGATAATAACATGAAATTGAAATATTTACATAAGAATGTGAAGATTTTAGGCGGCAACAAAAATAGCACTTTTTCAAAAATAACTTAAGGAAACGAAAAAAAAACGAAAAATAAAAACGGAAAGTTCTGGAATATTTGTATTCATTTGTATTCCTTATCGATATAGTGTATTTATATTTCGTTGTAAAACCTTTGGCAGCAATGACAGCAGCTTTCCCGTGGAATACTGCTCCATGATTCTTGAATGGTGGCCCAGAGCTCCTGATTATTCTTTGGTTTTGCATTGGAAACATATTTTTTTACATCAGACCAAAGATTCCCTATCGGGTTTAAGTCTGGAGACTGAGCAGGCCAATCCATTAGGTGAAGGGATCTGTCTTGAAACCACTTACGAGCTTTCTTACTGGTATGTTTAGGGTCGTTATCCTGTTGGAAGACCCACAACAACGGCATTTCGTATTCTGCATAAGGCAGCATCACTGTTTGCAAAATATCGCAATAGACATGTTGATCAATAATACCTTTTATCCAATGCATTGGACCCACTCCGTAATAAAAAAAAGCATGCCCAAACCATGATACTCGTTCTACCGTGTTTTATGGTCTTGCAGGTGAAACTTGGGCGGTATTCCGAATTGGGGGGTCGCCGTACATAGGATCGAGATCCTCTTTCTCCAAATAGCACGATTTTGCTTTCATCCGACCATAGGATGTTTCTCCACTTTTCTGCCGGCCTATTCAGGTGCTCTATTCTCTTCGACACATGCTTCGCATTTAAAAGTGGAACTTTTCTCGGACTACGGACACTTAATTTATAATCTTTTAAGCGATTCCGAACTGTTTTAATGCAAGCCGATATGTTAAGCTCCTTCTTTAGCTCAGTAGCCGGCTTAAAGGGGGCCTTCTTGCACTCGCGAACCAGTCTGTTCACCAGCAAATTAGACATTGCGGCTTTTCTACCGCATGTTTCTGGTTTATTTTTATACCCTTGCAGGGTATTATAATCATATAACTGCCATACAAATGATCGACAAATTTTTAGAAAAAAAAAATTATAACTCGGCTGTTTTATAACATATTTAATAATCATTTTGAAATATGGCCATTTTGTATTATTTCAGAACTTCGGTTTTAATTTTATGAAACGACTATATCATATACATAGCTGGCCATAGAAACGATCGGGAAATTAAGAGGGAAAAAATTATAACTTCGTTTTTTTTCAACGTATTTTCATCTACTCTGAGAGATGAGCATTTTTAATTATTTTAAAATTTCATAAAAATCGGAAAACTACATATGCATATCATATAGCTGCCATAGAAGCGATCGGTATAATAAAGAGAAAATGTAAAGCTGGGAATGTAAAACAGTAACTGTCAAACTGTAAACATAATAAAATAATAAACATAGGTAAAATGTTATGAAACTCTGTTTTGTGTGTTTTCAGCATAATGTATAATTCTTTATACGTAAATGACTTGTCTCTATGCGGAGAAAAGTCATATCCAAAATTAATTCGGCAATGCTGGCGCGATCTGAAATCCGATGAAATGGCGCACCAATGCTCCAAGCATGGGACCGACTCAAAAATTTGCATTCGAGTGATGCTTATACCATCAACCCTCTGCGGTATATTTTTTATTAATTATTTAATTATAATAATTTATTTATTTCCAGCCGGTTTCAAGTACACATTTTCGTAGGAGAACAGAATAACACAGAAGTACTTCCAATATGCGCAGGACCGTCGATAAAGTCGAATAACAAAAAAATTAAAAATACTGAAATATAAAAAAATGTTAACATTCGTAATTGTAGACTTGAGGTCTCAGTCGGCTTCGATTTTATAAAAATCAAAGGCGCGACTGTAACAAAAAAAAAAAAATAATAATAAATAAGCATTATTCATATTATAAGTAAGCAAATAATTGAAGTATGTTTGATATTTAAGTTTAGAATATAAAATCTGAAGTTAAATTTTTATTTTGTAGTTAAATAATAATAAATAATCATAAACGTAAATAAATGTGTATCATTAAAGAAAAACAGGTTTTTTGTAAAAAATATTAGAATTGGAAATACATATTGAAAATGTATCTAAAACGTATCGTCAAAAGTCCGCAAACAGTATTTTTCGGGTATCTTTAAAGTTCTGCAAACGGTACTTTTTCCGGTATCGCCACAGATCCGCAAGCAACACTTTGTTGGTTTCTGAAAATGATAGCTTTTGCTGCCACAAAACCCATTATTATCGTTCTTGAGTCTGAAATCTGACGTTTTGTCCGCCTGAGATCAGTAAAACTTGTTTGTAATATTTTTAACAAAGTTTTTGTCTGCTGGGTTAGTTAGTTAATGAGATCAATGTTGCGATTGACACATAGAAATTTGTGCAGGCTTCAGCGAGCACCTTCGGTCCGATATCTTCACTGGCAATTGCTCTCTCAATATATTGTCTTTTAGTTAAAATTTCCGCGCCGAAATGCTCGGAATAGCTTTTATTTTTCTTATAATTCGCCTTTCCTCAAGCTCATTAAATTCATTTCGGCCTTTATTTGCCAACCGATTTTCCCGAACGAAGAACTGGATGATGTACTGAACTGTACTAAAGCTTAGTCTACAATTTTAGCAATATTTCGTTGCGTTTTCTTAATTTTGAAATTATTTAGCACCAATTCTCGCTGTTCAATAGGTGTTCGGGAGATCATTTTCAGTCATTCAGCGATTCAACAATTAAGGGAATCCACTAAATAAAAATACGACAAGTTTCATAAATGATTATTTAATTATATTTTTATATATTATATAAACTTAACTTATATATCATAAGATACCAAATTGAAAATTAAACTCAATGTTTTGAACTTAAGGATTTTAAGAATACCCTTTGCTTTATGTGTGTATCCGTCATTCTTCCCCTCGCGTTGCACACAACACATTTGATAGCCGATGCCACCCGCTTCGATGGCACCGATGGCACCCGGGGTTATCAGATGTTTAAGGGCCACCTTATAAAAACCCGGCATGGTCACCTTATGGGATTTCCATACATCCAATGGGTTGCTTTCCCACGAAGCTTGAGGCAAGCTGAAGTACAATTTGCTCTGACACACTGCTCAACTCTTTCAGGATTGAGTGGTTGTGCGAGCTCATAAAATCGTCAAACCATTCATTAATTTTGTGACATCGGAAATCTGTACAAATATAAATAATTTATTTACTATGTATTAATTACCTTTGAAGGCTGCAGCACTTTTGAAAGATTTAGATATTGAGAGTACTTTTTCCAAGTTTGCTGATAGCTAAAAATTAAAGCAAATGTAAACCACGTGTTAAACTTAAATTTTCATATTGTTTATTTTTTTACTTTTCACATAAGTTCAGAAGTTCAATCCACGTTGCTTTGAAATTCAGAGTGACCAAGGGGAAAAAATATCGCAATTTCGATATTTGAGCAAAAAAAAAAATATCACGATTTAAATATATCGTTTTTAAAAAAAATATCGATATATTGATATTATTTTATATTATTAGCCCTGTCAAATCTCTAATTAATGCGGGAGTCTAGTTTCTAAACTAAAAAAATATTAGGAAATAAGGAAAAATAATGTTTTTGGTGGCAAGGTTCTTGCGCTGTAAAATTAATTTAAATACATTGTTTTGGTAATAATTAAAAAAATTTGTAGGCATTATAGGTTAAAAATATAAATTTTAAGGTTTCCGCATACATATATGAGTGAATACTTCGACAAGGAATACACTAATTAATAGTAAATTCAAATTCATAGATAATTCGTTGCACACACTTAAAAGTATATCATTTACAAGGTCTTTGAGCTCCAAAAACCGCTTGATCATGTAAAACGTGCTGTTCCATCTCGTAGCAACGTCTAGTATGTACATATGTATTAACATTTCATCTGTATGTTTTCATAAAGTTTTGTTTGCCACGCACTTTTCTTGAAAAATGTTACTATTTCTTTCACCTTGACAATAACCAAATGTATTCCACTTTTCTGCATAGCAGCTATTAGGAATTCTGAGAAAAATGAAATTCCTGGAATAGCGAAATATGTACTTATGTCGCTATGCTCCTGAAGTGTGTTCGCGCAAATAATACAACCAAAAACCAAAATAATATAGACAATCCAGATATGTATGTTGATCCAATTATATTCTCTTTCATTTATTTATTCTTTATTAGCACTGCACTTGGTTCTTTCTTCTCTAAACTTCTATGTTCACAAAATACGTCCACGCTGTTTGGTTGGTAGGAAGAGAAGAAGGAATGGAAACGAGCGAAACACTAATAGTGTTGGATAATATGAATATATTCTTTTGCATAATATCGATATTGTTTATAACAATATTTATATCGATATCTTGACAGCAGCTTTAACCACATTTGCTCAGTTGTCGGTGACAACGCCCATCACTAAATGTTTTTAAATATTCCAATCTGTGCACAGAGGTAAGCTGCGGTGTGCCTCTCGGTTAGCTCCAAAACACCGATTGTCAATGTCGTCATATCATGTTGTACTTGAAATGCACAGTAATGCCCAGATAGCTTCGCATGGACATCTGGTCGCTCCACACATCATTGTTATTGTGACAGTTTTGTCTTGCAGCAGAGTCTTGCTGATTTCCTTCAACTCTGCGGGATTATCGTCCACCCATTTCGTTTAGGGAGCCTGGGAGGGTATATTGT